AAAAAAAATAATTGAAGGTACTCTTTTCAAAGAAGGAGTTTAGTTCTAGAACCTAAGGATGGATACATCTGTTAATTTACCCCACATACCACAGCTGCCCCGAATTCTACCTCTCAAGTTTTCAGAATCTGGCTTATGATGACAATACACAAAATTTTTTTTTGGCAATTTACCTGATTTAACATCTCTCCTTAAGCTGTTAAAATCATTTTCAAATAAACAGGACTGATTCAGTCCCTAAATTTTCAAGGCAGGAACCTGAGTAATCAGTAAAAGGATGAGGGAGACTATCAGAAAAAAAAAAGACAGAAAATACTAAAAATTGGGGCTGTTGAATTTCCTGAGTGCCTAATCAAGAGGTATTCTTCACTCAAGAAATGGATCGTTTACTATGGAATACAGACATGCAAAATAAAAGTCAATAATCAGTGAAAGTGTGGCAATAAATGTGAGGCACCATTAGATTACAGGTGAGAACCTCACCCTTCAGTGGGTTTGTAAAGGAGGAATTCATATGCAAACAAGTCTAAACCCTAAAATCTTGGTTAGATTTTGAGAGACACATTTAGAAACAGAAAAAGCCTTTGATTAGAGAAACATGTTTACACAATAATACAGTACAGCATGAATCATGGCAAGTTCTTCTTTTACCACTTACTGGTCTTATTGATGCTGTGATCATGATACTAAGTAGTTGTGTTTATTTCCCCTAAGGTAGAGGATGGAAATTACACAGGTGGAAAACCTTCATGTCCCTAAGGCACACAAATTTGAAGCAAACTTCTTTTTAACAGGAAGCTGTCCTATTAAAGATGGTTCGACTTAGATAAGCAGAAAGGTAAAAAGGCACTTATAGAATATCCTAGATACCATTTTAAAGCCATTGTATTTATACATCAATTACTTTCACATAACGTGGTCATATTAAAGAAACAACTTAAAGCATGGAAGATTGATTTTCACTCAGGGTTTCAGAGGGTTCTCCATGATTCTGCATGATTTGGTACCATGTATTGAAGAGGACATCATGGTAGGTGAGCATAAAGCAGAGAACAACTTCTCAAGGCATAAAGGACAAGAAACAAGAGATCAAGACAGGAGGTAGACAAAGCAAACATACTCACGAGGACCATCCCAAGGGCTGACTTCTGCCAGTCATACCTCATCTCCTAAAGGTTATAAAGCCTGCCAAAATAGTGCCACCAGCTGGGTCACAAACATTCAAAACTCGAATCATATGTAAGACATTTGGGATTATATATTAACGGAATGTGTTTCTTATCTGTCTTGCTATAGAAAGGGGAGAGATTCTGGAAATTTTCAATTAAGCACAAGGCTGATGATTTATAAATATTACTTTAAGAACTGTCTATAAGAGGCTAGGTGAGTAGAAAGCAGAGGCTGAATAAGAGTGAATAAAAGTGGAGGCAGATATATTGAACCTACAGCTGTGTTATTTATTTAACACGTAGTTTTTGAAAAAGCATAATTAGCAACATCGATGACTTCTAAAATTGTCAGTCTTCCACATACAGCACTGAGATGAAGAATTGACTCTGGGAGAGGCAGACCGCACTGTTGGCCTGGGATGCCCTTAGCACCCTGTCAGTACTCCTCTTTTTTGGTCTTTCAAACTGATGGCCCCGACTAGCTCAGGATGTTTCTCTTTATACACGTTCTAATGTATTCAAGCATGAGCAGTTTCTTTTCTTTTTTTAATTAAGAATTTTTTTTTATTCATTCCACATACCAACCACATGTCCCCCTCTCATCTCCACTCCTGCTCCCCAAGTTCCAGAAGTCCAGGAGAAGAGATGGATGAGGGATTCTATGAGCAAGGGCCATCAAGACCATGATGGGGAAACTTACAGATACAACCGAACCAAGCTAGTGGGAACTCATGAACTTTGGACCAACAGCTGTGGAACCTGCATGGGACTGGACTGGGCCCTGTGCATGGATGAGACAGTTGTGTAGCTCAGTCTGTTTGAGGGAACCCTTACAGTGGGAATAGGATCTACCCCTGGTGCATGAACTGGCTTTTTGGAGCCAATTGCCTATGGTGGGACACCTTACATAGTCTTGGTGCAGGGGTAGGGGCTTGGACCTGCCTCAGCACTTCATACTTTCATGTCTGGAGGAGCCAGACAGCATGTACAAGGCTAGAGACTCATTTCGTTATTACATGGTTGGGCCATGGAAGAAAAAAGAACTTTACAGATTTCCTCCTTCTAAAGGAACGTGCACCCTTATAACCTTCAATAATGTTAATTAGACTGGAATATTGATACAATCCTTCTCTGGTCTTACAAAAAAAACACTAGTATAAGTCTAAACCTCAAACCTTGGCTCCCTAGACACTTAAAGTTTCCTATCATGTAAACTCCAATCTCTAGGTGCATTCTAATGCAGGTTTAATGATGTGAGATGTTGGTGACTTATCACTTTGTTTTTTAATATGATAAATAAACTGAAATTAATTGACTACAGTTAAGGATTGACTTATTCCCTGAGAAATATATTCTATTAGTTTCTAGATACAGTTCCATTTTACATCATTGAAACCAGTTATCAGATAAAATATTTTCTATTAAATCTGATAGCTTTAAGTAAAACTACATGATATGCCTCCACCAAAGGAAATGAGTATCATTCTTCAAAGCACAATCAATTCCTCATAGTGACAGATGATGTTTTTCAAAGTTAGCTGCAATTCAACAATGGTACTTTGATGTCTGAAATAATTGTCATCCAGAGTGAGTCACTGTTTAAAGTGCATTCTCCTTTTAGTTGGGCAATTCTAACATAGAATTGCAGGAGACAGATTTCCTGCAGTTTTTATCTAAAGAAATATTTTGCACTAGAAAGAAAAAAATTACTTTAAAAGTTGATTTAATGATGAGAAAGGTTTTCTTTTTTGGACAGGAAAAAAACTCTAATCTTTTGAGACCTAATTACATTTTGAACAGTATATGTCTTCATATATTTTAATTGACAGATATATAAACTTAAACAGATTTCATTTTATTAGTTTTTCAAAAAAATTGAAGACTAGAAATGTCAAATTTCACACTAATTTATTCTAAATTTCTGGGTAATATCTAAGCTGGGGTGATTATAAACTTAAATTGAAATGACAAAATAGGTGTATGTGTTCTAGGCAGGCAGCACAGCTCTGCACTGAGGTCTTGGAACCCAAATCTACCTAATGAAGCTCAGGGCCTGGGAAGTCTGCTGGACTTTAAGATCTCTGTTACAGACTCATGACAAAACCACTTAGGGTTTCCAAATAAGTAAAATAGACAATGATTGAATTTCTCAAAAAGAGTTATCATATTATATATCCTTAACTTTTGCATAACTTCTGTTATTAAAATTGTTCACAAACAATTTTGTGCATTCTGACCAGTCTCGTTCCCCACCCTCTCTTCTCTTCCTCCCACTCCTATTAGCCTCCTTTGCTCCCCAGGTCTCTTTCTCAAATTCATATCCTCTTCTTTCCCTCCCACCCCATTAACCTCCTCCCTTCCCTTCATCTCTTTCCACATTCATGGTGGTTGGTTTTGTTCAGCAGGCCATTGCGTTTAACCAGGGATTAATCCATGTGGAATAATTAATGTAACCATGGATTTATTGTATGAACCTCACAAGTGGGTACAGAATTGAGCACAATGACTGCCACTTCTAGTAGCTCTTAACTCAACAGGCAGGAGTAGGGTCCTTCCCAATCCATGAATGATTGTTCACAGGCCCAGTTTTCTGTAGGCTCAATGAAGGCAAGTACAGCATCTTTGAGATCTTGATCACACAAGCTGTGTCATGCCCAGCAGACTGTATTTCTTAAACCTTTCCCCTTATATAAATAATTATTATTTAAATGTGATATTGTCCTTTCCTTAAGCCGTTGAAAATAAATGGTTGATTTCATTGGCAAGGAGGTAATAAAATATGTTTTGTTTTCCATACCTGCTTTTGAACCTTTTTTCTCCATTTCTGGGGACCAAAACTGGGGTCATTTGCTTGCTAAGCAAGCATTCAAACAGTGAGCTGTCTCTCCCAGACATACTAAATGATTTTTGCAATACTACTTAGCAAAATGAAATGTTACTGTTCATAATAGCCCCAATTTTCTCTTAAGAAACCAGATTAAATATTGAAAATCTAGAATTGGAACAAATTGCTATACATATACAGGTGAAGTGGTATATGGTGTCATATATCTCTATGTCATGCAGTAGGAGGCTGAGGCAGGAGGATGGTGAGTTCAAGAACATCTTGAGCAACATAGTGATGTTATCTCAAAATATATAAATAAATTATCCATAAATTAAATTCATCTAAAAATAATCAGGGGTACTGTCTGTGTGCTTTCTTTCTACCTGCTCCATGGCTTAAGGATAGGTTTTTACACTCTGTTGCTTTACTTTCAGGAAGAGCTTTGGCAATAGTGTATTCTCTCAAGGCCAAATGTCATATTTTTGTTTCAATCAATCCTCAAAAAACTGTCTTGAAAATATTACTGATGTCTAGCCATGAGTGGTGGGCTATGCCAGAGTATTCTGTCATGAACTACTTATTGAGACCTTGTCTCAAAATCAACACACATAAAACACATATATAACAACATGGTGATTCACAGTAGTATTAACAAAGGTATCACTATTCCTTAAACTAAGGCAGTTTTATGTTGAAGGTTTATTCTCTTACTTGCCTGAGTAAGTAAGTCAAGACCTGGCATTATTCTGTTGAAAATGTTTTCAGATTCTTTTAGTCTTTCATGTGACCTTCAGTTAGAAGATTGAGTATCAGATTCTCATGTCACTAAGAGTCCTTACTTCTAATTAGCAAAGACGTGCACTGCTTCAGGATGACTAGCTGTAACAGGAAGCTGATGACTCCCTGGGAATCTTATAAGACAGTCTGGAGAAGCACTGTGTCATAAACTGTGTTCTAAGTGGTCCATTTGATGTCTTGTTTTCTTTCCACTTTTCCCCTTCCAGTGAAATCAGATGAGTTACAGACAATCAAGAAAGAATTAACCCAGATCAAAACTAAAATTGACTCCTTGCTAGGGCGCCTGGAGAAGATTGAGAAGCAGCAGAAGGCAGAGGCAGGTAAGTGGAAAGGAATTTGTGGCCACAGACAGGTTGGAATTAACCCCACAGCATCAATTGTAGAATGCAGGCCAGAGGGAGACCAGCTGAATCACTAAGTTACAAAGCCACAAACAACTCTTGTAAGCCAAGAATTGCACGGATAAATGGGGCTGCTTTGGAAAATATTAACAAATACTTCTAAGATTAAGGTTGAAAAAGGATAGCATTTTGATGGAACAATCAATAGTAGATACATCCAAATTAAAACTTCCTATCTCAGTATTAGGTAATTTGTAAGAAAATAAAGACAAGTAATGGATAGTGTTATCAAGATAATATATTATTCACATTTCATTAAATTAACCACAGTACAATACAAAAAATTCCAAATACCATTATTACAGAGCCCAAATTCTGTCTTTCCTGTGACCTTATAAAATTTCTTTACCCTAATTCAGAAACTGGGAAGCATACAGCAGGTCCTTGGCAAACACAGGCCAAATTATTTGATTAATCCTTTACCACTCAATGGGCTTTTTCGGGATTATCGTCATAGTTCCTACCCACAGTCTAACACAGTTATCACACCTTTTCTTGTATAATGTTTTAAGATCACATGAAATGAGAATTGGGATGAACTCAGAGCTGCTCCATATTTTGATTTGCATTTTTCAAGGTGCTAGGTAGCTCACAGGCTGCTGTATAGCTGACATGGAGGTTAAGAGGAGACACATTAGGTATATACAGTGTGTGCCTCTTTCAAACTTAGCCCTTGCTCCAAGGATTGTGTGAATAATGTTACTTGTGTGTGTATGTGGTCCTGAGATTCAAACAGAACTAAACTTACTAGGAATTTCACTTCTTAAAAATCAAATAAATGAGCAATATAAGTTTGAGAAGTTATTATTAAGTCCTGCTCCTTTCACAGAATGCAAACAAAGGTTCACAGGCATAAATTTATTTCTGCAGCCACATGAGTGGTTTGTGATATACCTGGGTCTTAAGATTAGGACTCAGGTTTCTCTCACAGCTACATTCCTGGCTTCCCTGAAGTGAGGCTACTAGGGTACTCTTATCTAGTGAGCATTGTTGGGGACTAGAGTTGTTGCTGAGGCGCCTGCTTGGAATATAGAACTCCTTGCTGGAACCCATGATTCCTAAACTAAAGCAAGCAAATACCTGCCTGCCTGTTTACTCTCAACCAGAACTGTTGCCCACCTCCTGGCTGAGCTATGGAACATTTCTAGTTATAAACACTTCAGAATAAGGTTATTCAATCCATACTTTAAATATCTCATTAAAAATAACAGAAGTCAGTTACTCTCCCTAGCATGTTAATATGAAAGAGACATGATAGATTAAACTGAACAACTTCTCCTGAAATTTTTAATAGCACATTTTTAGACTGAGAAAAGCTACATTGCCTACACTTCACAGTAAAGAAATTTAGAGTTTTAGAAAGTTTTGATGCACTGTCTATACCCATAATCTAAAGTGTCGCTGTAACTGAAATATCCTGTGATGTTGCCTAAGTCAATATTTCCCTTTGAGGAACTTCTGTAGAACTCATTATTATGTAAAACAACCCCTAGAGCAAAAGACTTTGATAACCAATTTGCACTTCAGTTTAAAGGATTATAGAGAACTCATTTAAATATAAATCACCTCAAAGAGAAAAATGTGATCCTTATTCCAGCATATTATACCTTCCGGTTTCCTGCAATGAATAATACCTGCCACAGATCTTGCTGCAAGATCATCTATAAAAGTAACACTCTAATTCAAGCCCCGATTTTCCTTTTATAAAAGCTGTCATCTTGCCTTTGCGCATCTTTAAACTTTTCCAGTCATGAGACCGTTACTTTCAACATGACAAGTCTTGTCCTTGTTGTTGTTCCTTTTACATGCTATGAAGAAAATGGAGGTATTTAATTCGTGACTTCACTGTCTTGTAATTGTCTTCTGAATAGCATCTCTATTTATGGAGATAATATAATTCTCTTCTTCATTTCCTGTATTTTCTCTGTGGAAAGAAATCAGAATTATATGGAAAGAGTTAACACTGTGTTATGGAGAGAGGAGTAAAATGCATTAAAATTCATTAAAAGGTACTCAAAACCTCATTATTAAATCCAGGGGCTCTAACTTTAATGTTTAATTGGTTGAAAGCTAATTATTTGCTAGCTAGCACTTATTCTTCATTATTGCTCTTTCTATATCTTATTCCTTACATAGTATTAGCCATTTAATAAGGACTGTTTTCAGCATAAATGTAGTCAAGGGGGAAGAAACAGATGACTAGGGAGAAAAGAGAATTCAGAACATGGCTGGGCAAGATATGGGGTAAGTTCTGGCTGAGCTTCACAGGATTTGTTTCCCCAGTCACTTCAAAGGGAGTTCTAAAACTTTCCAACAAAATCATTATAAAACACAATCATATTATTATGGACTGTCTACACCATAAAATGTTTTAAAAAGATCTCCATGCACCTCTTCATTTGACATTCTAATCTTTCTGAGTACAAGATCACATTCTCTTTTTCCTTACTTTAAACGTTACAGAATCATTGACCATGACCAGGGATGTAGCAAGGCTGGGGACCTTTTAGACTACAGCAATGGAGAATGCCCCTCTAACACATACACAAGCACTTAAAACTGTGCTTACTGTGATCCCGCCATACATATATTGGTTTTCCACTGAACAAAACAACTTTTTAAAGATGTAGAAAACATATAAATTAATGAAAGCAATGATTAGCACTTCATAGCAGTTTAGATTATAAATGGATTTCATTCCTAGATGATTCTTTAGAAGGAGCCAAATGTAAATTGTCACACACACACACACACACACACACACACACACACACACACACACACAATTTATATGGCTGGCTTGCCTTGTGATATCATATAACCAAGAAGGTAAACCACAAAAAGGAAAGGTATATTGTAGTTTGAGTTTTCCTGCCTGGCCCACAGTCAGGACAAATCTCTCTCACCTGCCAGTCCCACAGCCACTCAGACCCAACCAAGTAAACACAGAGACTTATATTGGTTACAAACTGTATGGCCATGGCAGGCTTCTTGCTAACTGTTCTTATATCTTAAATTAATCCATTTCTATAAATCTATACCTTGCCACATGGCTCGTGGCTTACCGGCATCTTCACATGCTGTTTGTCATCGTGGCGGCTGGCAGTGTCTCTCTGACTCAGCCTTCCACTTCCCAGCTTTATTCTCCTCCTTGTCCCGCCTACATTTCCTGCCTAGCCAATGGCCAATCAGTGTTTTATTTATTGACTAATCAGCAACACATTTGCCATACAGAACATCCCACAGCAGTATATTATGCATCACACAATTGGCTGAATTACTCCACAGGAAACTACATTAAAAAACAAAATTTCTGTCACAGACCAGTGCAAAGAGCAATGGACATTATTTGTCTTAGACTTACTCTGAAAAGCATACCTAATACATGAGCAGCAGCCTTGTTTGGGTGGTTACAATGTTAAACTGAGAGGTGAATTGAATTATTAGGAAGACCACAAACTTCAGTCATAGTAATGAATGTATCCTACCTGTATGTTTTCATACAACACAGAATTGTAAAAAGTTAATGCTGAAATAGTTGTATTATAAATTAATATAAAATTATAGGACTTCTTAAGAAACAAATGAAAAATTTCAACCTTAATATTCACTCCACACCTGAAAAATCTTTTCAGTTAATACTGTTGTTCATCCAGTTCATGCATTTATTTTATCTGATGACCACTGATGACGTTTTTCTGTACCAACCCTCTAGTAGGCTCTCCTTACAGGAATGAAGATGAATTTGGCTCTCACCTGATTTAACCATTCTTCCCCTGTCATTTGAAGCTATGTGCATACAACAGTCTATTCAGTATTTAGGATTTCTAATATTTCAACCTTTCCAAGGCATTTGAACATGGACTTAACATGGTTCATCTATGACTTTATCTAAGCTGAATTCAAATTTTGGTTGAATCATCTCTGACGTCTCTGCCTACAGTAATAGCAAGAAGTCATGGAGCTGCTTGTCTTGTCAATTTATTTTGTATCCTGAATCATTAATATCTCTCCTTTCTGGTCATCTATACTTAGTCAAACATGGACTATTAGAACTCAAAGAAAAGAGTATTCTTGTCAGGTCTTCTTTCCCCAACCTCAACTGTGGCCACTGATTCTATTCTGAATATTCCTGAATGCAGCTGATGATGCTTCCAATAAGAGACAGTGGTTTTAACTCGGTTTCCTTCTTACACTACTTGAAAATAATTATAAAGCTTTGAAATAAAGCTCCATTGCAAGAACAAACATAGAATAAAAGTTCACAAGTCAGATTGTTGAAGATATTTATGTTTCTAACTTAATACCTCCCAAATGTCCAAGTCCAATTTTAAAATCAGAATTCCCACAAGGCTCTAAGTTAAATGTACTAAGTGGGTAAAAATCTGTGGAGGAAAAAAAAAAAACATACTCCAAAGTCCTCATTCCCAAATGTCCCTGACATAATTTGACAGAGGAATAAAGATTTCTATAGAAAAGCTAAAACAGTAGGCATCAGGGTAGACAGACAATAAGCAAGCCTGAGAAAGAAAAAAAAGATTATACATTTGCTCTATAGATTCCAGGTTCTCTCCCCTCATCATAGGATACTAGGTGAATCGTCACTTAAGAACACGAGCAACCTAAGAAATAGCACTCCATATGCTGACATGGCATCCCCAAGGAAGTGATCAAGCAGACTGCCTTAATAAAAAAAAGAAACCTGTGTTTACATAGCAGCTGTGAGTACCTAAATGCTTCTCTTATTATATGAAAAACTAATGATCAAGGTAGAAGAAAATATTAAAAGCAAACACACATACACACAAAGAACTCAGAGGAAGTAGATTGTACAGAGGAACAAAACTTTAAAAGAAAACAAAATGACAGCAACAAAAAACTGATTGATATCTTCAGAGAGAAGAGACAGAACTGCACTG